TTTATTTATTTGACAGAGAGACAGCGAGAGAGGGAACACAAGCAGGGGGAGTGGGAGGGGAAGAATAGGCTTCCCGCGGAGCAGGGAGCCTGATGCGGGGCTCGATCCCAGGACCCTGGGATCATGACCTGAGCCGAAGGCAGACACTTAACGACTGAGCCACCCAGGTGCCCCGCTCCAGGCTTATTTTCATTGCTTGTTTGGAAAGTCGTGACAAGCCATCGATAAATAATACCTCACCAAGGGACAGCCTTCAGGTTTCAAAGCCCACCATGTCTTAAATTTTTTTTTTAAAGATTTTATTTATTTATTTGACAGAGAGATAGAGAGAGAGAACAAGTACGCAGAGAAGCAGGCAGAGGGAGAGGGAGAAGCAGGCTCCCCGCTGAGCAGGGAGCCCGATGCGGGGCTCGATCCCAGGACCAGACGCTTAACCAACTGAGCCACCCGGGCGCCCCCCATGTCTTAAATTTATCGTTAAAATGAGAATGTGAGGTAGTTGCTCTTATTCAAAGTGTAGATAAGGCGGGAGAGGACCCCCTCCCCACCGGCAGACAAGTTGAAACACCGGTTTCAGCTGCCTATGGCCTCTGTGGTAGCCCGCGGGGTTCTACCTGACCACCCACCAGTGAGTTCCCAGGAGGAAGAGATGCCAAACTCCTGACCCATGGTGTTTGAAAATACTGTGGAACATTCCCACTCACGGATTTCACTGCAAGTTCAGTGAATATTTTCAGCAAGCCAAAAATGAGACTCCTCAGTCAAGACAACACAAAGTCCCTATGATTAGGGAACAGCAATAGAGTGGCAATTTAATTATCAAGTCCTCTTCCAGGACACTAAATGTCTTATAAAAATGTATCATTTGCTCTGCAAGTATTTATCCTTTAGTGAACATAAGTGGTCTTAGAAAAGAGGAGTAAGAGATCTGAGCAGTCACTTAGGTTGGTTGAGTGGTGGGTCTTGCTGGGCTCCTAACAGCCCATTTCCGGGAAAATGGAACCTGGATTTCTCATGAAACATCAATCAATCATCCCGGATACTGGTGACAATCCAAGTAGGCATACTCAAGAGTTTTCACTTCCATGCCTTGAATTAAACCTCACATCAGGCAGGTTTAAATGACTTAATTAATCCATCTGTAAGCTTTTAAATGGAAAAACCAAAGTATAGAGAAGCACATTGTCTTGGGTTGTTCTAGTGAATCAAACCACATACTTTTAAAAATCACATGTGCTTTCCTTATGTTAAGAACCTACCCCAAGCACCAAAAAACAGACTCTAACTACAGAGAACACACTGATGGTGACCAGAAGGGAGGGTGGTGGGGGGGATGAGTGAGGTAGGTGATGGGATTAAGGCGTGCACTTGTCCTGATGAGCACTGAGTAATGTATAGAACCGCTGAGTCACTATATTGCATACCTGAAACTAATATAACACTGTATGTTAACTATATTGGAATTAAAACAAAACAAAACAAAACAGAGCAGAACAAACCCCAAGTGCCTGATCAGCACCTCATCTCCATGAGGCCAAGATAGTTTCGTAGCTATTAGGGAAGCTGGCAGAGAATTTCTTCTGGCACCCATGAAGGACGAGGAGGGGGGGCCTTATCCATTGGCTGCCTCCTCCGACAAAGATCTCATGGAAATTCGGTGGACATACAGAACCAGTCTCTGTACTTAACATTTTCCAAAGCACAGATGTTTTTCTCTTAACTGTGAACGCTGGCTGACTTGTCTGAATCCTTGTCAGGGCTCAGCAGACGGGACGTTTTTGGTGTCTTGTCCCCTCTAACTTGGGGGTTGATGTTCACTGCTTGGATGGAAAACACATCTTTGGCGAGACAGACACGAAAACACATCTTTGGCCGCTTACAGGAAAAATGTTTCCATTTTGGGAAACTCCCTGTGATAAAAGAGTTTTTCTGGCTCTGGGCATACATAAGCAACCACAAGGACACTTCAGTAAAAGAGAAAACAGATTTATAATCGTTTGCCATGATAGTGATATGCAGTTATAAGCTCCTGAGGATTTTCCTGTTGTTTCATTTTGGAAGCAAAAAGTTGACTCATTTTTCTGGTTAGTACCTCAGTGTTTTCATTAGGGGGTTTCTATAAAGACTTTATCTGAATCATCATAAGGAAAACATTTCAGAGCTTGGATAAAAGTTTATCTCCCATAAACAGCATGGACTGCTAAAACCTGCTTGGAGTTGAACAAATTACAGAGAAGCTTTAGTCCAGGACTTCAATATATCAAGTGAAACAGTGATTTTTCAAACACGGCCAAATTCAACTAGTTTAGATAATGCAAGTTTGGAAATGCAAGATTGACTAAAACTGTCAAAATATTCTTAACATACTAATTAAGTTTATTAGAATATTTTAATTCTGGGGTGCCTGGGTGGCTCAGACGGTTAAGTGTTTGCCTTCGGCTCAGGTCATGATCCCAGGGTCCTGGGATCGAGCCCTGCATCAGGGTCCCTGCTTGGCTGGGAGTCTGCTTCTCCCTCTCTCTCTGCTGCTCCCCCTGCTTGTGCGCTCTCTCGCTCTCTGTCAAATAAGTAAAATCTCTTTTTCAAAAAAGAATATTTTAATTTCCTAGAATTACATAGCACTTAACTCTTCACTACAAATATTTCATCAAATGGATAGATATATTCATCTTTCTTTTATTATCTGTCAAGATCGGTATGCTAAATTGTAATTAGGTGCTCTCATCAGGGATCTCAAGGATAAATTAAAATGCTCAGTAAATATCCAATTGGTATGTACAGACTACAAAATACCATTTTAATCCTTTACAGGAATCAGAAAGCTTAAGCCTTTCATATTTTTAAGTATTTACACGGTGGGAAAACAGAATTTTCCAGGTAATTGTGAATGAGACATTGTCCTGTAAGACCAAAAAAAAAAAAAAAAAAGCCTTATTTCTGTACCAATAAAGTTCCTAACACTGGTTCCTCTTTTAAACTCATTTTGAGTTGTATATGGAAGGTCTAAGAACCAGAAAAACACAAGGCTATTTTAAAAGTGACTTGCTCAGATATTTCTAGTCTCTAAACCTGGCAAATAATGGTAAAGTTTCAAAGTGAAGCCATACCTTTTCTGGGGAACACAATGGAGAGGTGTGTCTCTCTTGGTTGTGGGCACATAAAGTGCCTTTCTCATCTGTGGAAGGACTGCCTGGGGGGAGGAACACACTGAACCCCATGGATCAGGGTTCAAAGTCATCGTTGGTTGTGAGCACCTTGAAGTTCTGGAGGGGTCTGACATTCGAGTCACGAGATGTCCCCAAATTAGAAGCCGTGTTCAAAAGTTCGTAAAATGTCTCCGTATAAAATCATACCCAGATCTTTAGAGAATAGGTCAGACCTGTATGATTTAAATACCATCTCAAATGTCACTATGTGAAAAACCATTTCAGAAGCACATCACCCATTGTGGTCTGAAGCAATGATGTTTCTAGAATGGCCTTTATCCATACCACAGTTATTTATTTAAAGATTTTATTTATTTGAGAGTGAGAGAGAGAGAGCATTGGCGGGGGGGGGGGGGGGGGGGGCAGAGTGAGAAGGAGAAGCAGACTCCCTGCTGAGCAGGGAGCCCGACGCGGGCTTGATCCCAGGACCCCGCGGGACCATGACCTGAGCTGAAGGCAGACGATTAACAGACTGAGCCACCCAGATGCCCCATCCATACCATATTTAAAGAAAAATAGGGTTTTATTGATATCCTGATTTTGACACTTAATAGCTCTGTGACCTTGGGCACATTCCTTAACTTCTCTTGCCTTAGTTCCCTCATGTGTAAAACTAAAGGTCAGGGTAGGGAATAAATGAGTTAATGTGTCTGGCACCTAATAACCACTCCGTGTCAGCTGTTAACACCAGTATTATCACTCACCTGTTGTAGTAACTCATAATGTTTGCAGAAAAGCCATCGGCATGAAGTTTTAAAAATCAATTTAAAAACAGGACTCCCCCCTTCTGGATAGTCCTCACTGCCTTCCTTCTGTGTGAGATTAGGGGTTACTCTCTCTCTCTCCCTTATAAATATTTGATTGCTAGCCTGCAGGCACAACTCTATGACCCAAATGTGCCCAGCCTGGTCAAAATTTATCCTCAGGTTCCCTCTCTCTCTAGTTGGTCCTGTCCATAGCTAGAGAGGAGCAAGAAGCACCCGCCTAATGGCTGGGGAATCCATTTTGCATACCTCCGCTGAACTAAACTTAGTAAGCAACTTAGCAGGCTATGAAGCTATGCTCTTGCTACAACATATAAGAGTCACCTGCCCGGGCGCCGGGTGGCTCAGTCGTTAAGCGTCTGCCTTCGGCTCAGGTCATGATCCCGGGGTCCTGGGATCGAGCCCTGCATCGGGCTCCCTGCTCCATGGGAAGCCTGCTTCTCCCTCTCCCACTCCCCCTGCTTGTGTTCCCTCTCTTGCTGTGTGTCTCTCTGTCAAATAAATAAAATTTTTTTAAAAAAAAGAGTCACCTGCCCACTCTGGAAAGTGAGAATGGTAATTTCAGTTTGAATCTGGGGGTTGAGGATTTTATATAAAACAAGGAGACACTCTGGTCTCTGCTGCCTGTCTGGGACAAGCACACGAGGAACCCAGGGAAACTGACCACCTCCTTTAGGGTGTGGTGGGTTAAAGCGGATCACAACCTCTGGAATTTTTAAGTTGTAGGACCTTCCCTGGTGAACTCCTATTTTAATGTTTATCTTCTGGGAGGCAGGCAAATTCAAAGCAAACAAGTACACTATAAATGATGGACACAGAGACAATGCAAATATTTGGGGCTGTTAAGTCTGTTAATTCCTGATAGTTGGCCAGCAGGTTTTTGTTTCTTTTTTTTTTTTTTTATAAAATAAGATGTTTACTTTATCATCCACATGCATAAAATTACATAGAAACAACACACAAAGTGCTTAGAATGCAAATATTCTTTGGTTTACTCATCAAAATAGCAAATAACAAAATAGTAAAAACCTTATCAGTTAAATAAAAAAGTAACATTCTTTATTTACCTATCAAACCTTATTCAATGTTGAAATGCACTTATTTTCATTCTCATGGTCCACAGCAATATGCTTTCTTCCATTTTGGCCCTTTATCCCCCTAAATTATTTTGATGGGCTCATCTCTAAAATAAAGATTGTGGTACTTTTCTTAGTATTGCTGACCTTTACAAGAACCATCTAGATTTTTCTTTGTCTCTTTTACATCTGAAACAGATACTAAAAATGGGGAGTCCACTAGCACATCTTCAAGAATTACCACATTTTCGAAGTATCACCATTGGTACTAAAAAAACAGGACACTCCAGTCCCGAAGCATGTTCGTTTATCAGGCATTATTCACCGTATCAAATATAGTCGGTTCCTACAATACTGATTTCAAAGAAGCAGTTTCCTGTTTTTCTGAGGGTTCAGTCTGACCGCCTCAATTCTTGAACGTCTTAATTCTCGATGAAGACTTAATTCTTAAATGTCAATGACAAAAACTTTAACAAAGGAACACAACAAAAGGTAGACTTGAAAATGAAATCATCTCGAAGGGAGCAATGAGAGCAAGAGAGAGTTCTCAGCTTTTTAACAGAGGTACATATACACAGTAAGGAGTAATAGTGAATCAAAGTACATAATTCTGTACACGTGAGAAATACCCAACATGCTACCAACACAACTGACCTAAAAAAACATGTCTTGAGGTTTGGGGCCATCCATATTTTTCTTTGCCTAACTCTATATTTGCATCACACGACCAGACACCTTTCCCACGATCTGCTAACTGTGAGGGAGGGAGCTTTTCACCAGAATTTTTGGCAATCTGCTTTTCTTCAAATGAAACAAGCTGCACAAAACGTTACTGACAATGTCTGACGCCTGAGATGGGCAGTCTTTCTGAAACATGGGTCATCTTTAAAAAAAAAAAAAAGTTTTTCCTTCATAAATCAGCAGTGCTCCGTTTTCAAAGAAATCACGGGCGGTTGCAGTCTTAATGCACATGGTCAGATGTTCTCCTCATCCAGCATTTTGTTGACACCATCGCAGAGTTTTTGTAAGTGGGGCTTAAAATTCCCAAAGGGGTTATATAAGGCAGCTAAAAAATCACAATCGGAAAAATGGTCAAAGACGTTATTAACCCGTCCATGCGACTTGGCTGTGAGGTGGCGCTGGATGATCTGGTGGAGCATCTCTCTGCACTCGTTCAGCAGGCGGGAGAGCACGTTCCGGTCAAAGGTGTACTCCACCTGATGGAAGCTGACCACGGTCATGGCCAGCTGGTGGACTTTCTTCTTGAATTTCTCCATCAGGGCCAGCTCGTCTTGGTTGAACTGGTTATTCCTGTAAAGAATGGCCAGTTTGATGACGGTCTTGATGAGGTTCTTGATGATCTTCTCTGCCTCCTTCTTGTTCTGGGTGTATTCCTTGGTCACCCGGTAGAGCTCATCCAACACCTCGCTGCTCGTGTCATCGATGAGGGTGGTGGCGATGGATTTGGACACCATTTTCCCCAAGATCTTCTTTTGAGCCTGCACGGCCAGGTTTTTGGAATTGAAGACATCTGTGGCCACTACAAAGAAGCAAATTAAAAAAAAAAAACACAACAACAGATAATTAAGGAGGATTTTCCTCTCACTTTCCCACTATAGGGTTGCCTTCCATCTACTGATACTAATTTCTGTTCAGAAAAGGACTAAAAATTTTACTACATTTCTGGGCATCAGGTTCTCATTGTTTCTTTCTTTCTTTCTTTCTTTCTTCTTCCTTTTTTTTTAGTATTTCATTTATTTATTTGACAGAGAGAGTACAAGCAGGGGGAGCGACAGGTAGAGGGAGAAGCAGGCTCCCCACTGAGCAGGGAGCCTGATGCAGGGCTCCATCCCAGGACCCCGGGATCATGACCTGAGCCCAAGGCAGATGCTTAACCAACTAAGCCACCCAAGCGCCCCAGGTTCTCTCTTTCTGAAAAGAAAGGGTTGTTATGCGTCATCTTTAAGGTCTCTGGCAACTCAAGTATTTTATACCCTCTGCTATACACTCAGCACTTTGTTTAGCAGTTGAAGGTGACCTTTCCAAAGATAACTTTTTCTGATTTTAAGAATGGCACATCTCACGAGGCAGTGAGTTTTGATGCAATTTCCCCCCAGTTGAGTTTTATAAGAAATACACCAAAAATATAAAATCAACTCCACAACTGTCCTCTGGGCACCAGTCACCAAGAACAATTTAAAGAAACCCCTTTAAATGTAAGAAGGATAAATAGCAAAGCCACACTGAGTCAAGTAGCAAATTCATGGAAGCAAATCAAAAGGAGAGCCTTGCTTCACTTATTTTTTTTTAAGATTTTATTTACTTATTTGCCAGAGAGAGCACAAGCAGGGGAAGCTCCAGGCAGAGGGAGAAGCAGACTCTCCGCGGAGCAGGGAGCCCAATGCGGGACTCAATCTCAGGACTCCGGGATCATGACCTGAGCTGAAGGCAGACGCTTAACCCACTGAGCCTCCCAGGCATCCCAAGGAAAGCCCTGCTTTAAACTTCAGCTGCAGAAAGTCAAATTTCCTGAGACATGGGCCCACCCCTTCCAGTTTGGTCATCCTAAACACCCCAAATTTCAACTCCCAGAAGTTGAGTCTTAGAAAAGAACATTCATTCCGTGGAGGGTGCCTTGTCACTTGCTATTTCTGATGAATGGCCATTGTTGGTTCCCTTGAAACGTTTCTACATTCTATGGCAATAACCACACTTTTATGAGCTAATGAAATGTGCTCCATGAATAACACGTGTTGAAAAAGCTGAGGCTTAGAGTTTGCTTTTGAAATTACCAACACTTAATCTGACAGAGGTGTAAGATACACGTAATAATCGTTGTACGTATTCAGTACAAAACGCTGTGTGATGCTCTTAGCTTACAGCCGGTCAGTGAAAATGCTCAATACATGTTCACTCCCCAAACCAAGTTTAGTTTTTCCCCTATATTTCCACCCCCCCCAACTCTGTGAATGCTACTCCATCAAAACGTGCTTTGTCCCTCCCTTCTGGGTCCTCCGAGCTGGAGTTTTTGGGGTCTCTATCCCCACTCTGGGTTCAGGACCAGCTGTTGTCTCTTGTATTCCAGTGCATAAGCCCAGGCCTGGGTGTCGGAAAGCAGTCATTTAGTAACGAAAGATAAAAAGAGTAAAAATACAGATAGGTAGGAAGGAGTCCGGGCATTAGCGATATACAATTATTTCTAGTTTGGACAGGCTAGTGGCAGAAAGCGAAAAGGCAGCTACCCCCAAATCCAGGCTGGGAGGGTGTCTAAGAAGAGACACTCCCTCCATGGGACTGTCATGTTCGATCTGACGCTTGGGCCAGAGTAGCTCACAGGATATATTCCAGGCAGTGCCGAGTGGTTCCTACTGACCAGGATGCTGTTCATTAATACCAGGGCCACACGCCCTGAAGGAACGCCTTCACTGAACCAGAAGCTGTGCCCTCACAACTGTCGGTATTTAAACGTCTGAAACATGAACTGAAACTGCAGAAGAGCTGAAGTGTATTTTGGGAAAGAAAAGGAAAGCGAAAAAGCATGAGAAATCGCCAACTTGTGAAGGTTTCCAAGATGTTTCATATTTTCATCAGTCACATCCATTTCTATTCCTAAAGGTTGGCAGAAGAGTGTATGGGTTAATCCACATTAAATAGTTTGTATCAAAATAAATGGCACACATGTAGTTACTGTTACCACATTAAGACCAGGGACCATCTTCCGTTGCAGAACTTACGATATGGATCTCAATAAATAAACCTGATTTATACAGGAAGGGATACCCCCCAAATTTCAGATCCCCGGTAAATAATATGATTTCAGAAACTTACATAAAGCTCAAAGGTTATTCTGTGTTGAATCTATTAGGAGGTGACACAGTCTCCCAACACCCATCTGGGATTTACTACAATGTCTATTCGATGGAAACACTGTACACTATGAAATCACCGGAACCAGAAGGAGAGGAGTAAAAATCCGAGCTCCTCTCTCCAAGCCTGGACTTGAAACTTTGCACCTCTTTGAAGCTCCTTTGCTCATTAAACCTCAATGTTCCATTTGCTTTCAAACATAAAGACAAGGGAAAAAATTTTCTTCATGTAGTAGCCCTTGAACCTCCCACAAGACAAAGTGTGAAAAGCAAGGCCATGGCCAACAAGGTCGCGCCCCGTTTACCAGTAACAAGTCTCAACCAGGACAGAGAAGCTGATTTCTGAGGCTCTCCCAGTTGCCCCAGAGGAACTGCAAACCCTGTTCTAGAAACAGAGAAGCCACTTCCTCCTTTCGTTTTCTTCTTTGGGTTATATCCAGCTCAGTCATCTTGGAAAGGGAGGCTGAAGCTCTCTCTCCCCCTGGGCAGGGAAGACATGCGTGCAGTGGATTTCTTTTCTAGCACGAGTGAAGGCTTCCTGGAGCCAACGGGGGGTTGTGGCTGAGAGTTCCTAGCCAGGGCTGTGTGGTCTGTGATCATGAAATATGATTTCCCCCCCCTTGCAAATTAATTGCCTTTAGCCATTCCTGCTCAGGCTCATTTGTCAGTTCCACATCCTCTACCAGATCCTTTAAAGGCCTGGTGTATCTCAGGGCTAGTCCTGGATGACGTTTTTCTCCTTTGCTCTACCCTCAGCCCCGTGTGAGCTCACCCACTCCCGCAGGCTTCAGATACCCCCCAGGTGCCAGCAACTTCCACACTTAGAACTCACTCTGACCTCTTTCCCGGACTCATTTTGCAAATGCATTCAAGGTTTTCCTTTTTCTCGGCTATTTTGCAGGCATTGCAAATGCACCATGTCTAAAAGAGAACCTTTGATTCCCTCGTGCTCCCAAAGCATTCCTTCTCCACTCTACCTTCATGAAGAGCATCTCTTCCAACCATTTGCTCAAGAGGCGGGGGGGGGGGGAGAGGGAAGAGGTGCTGGCCCTCACCCGCTACACGTCCTCTCTCTTGCCCCGCCCATGACCAAGAGCCTTCCATTCTCCCCTCCTCCACTTGCCTCCATCTGCATGGATACCAGCCTAGTTCAAACCCCTTTCCAATCTCTTCTCACTGAGCAGCCAGAGATTTTCAAAATGTAAATTAGAAAAAGATGCTGACTTCAAGTCTTTGCTAACCAACACACTTACACACTTCCTCATTCCTGAAATCCTCCTCATTTGCCTAAATTTTGATGGTCTGTCCCTCCTCCCTAGACTCTAAGTTCTCTGTGAGGGAGATGATCCATCTGTGCCCTGGGGTCACCCTCTGGGCCCACGCGGGCACCTGCTATGTGGTGCTTCTGACTGAAGAGGAAGCCCATTTCCCCTCTCCCTTTGCTCCACTTAAACGCTTCCCTTTGAAAACCTGATGGCCTGCAAAACGAGAGTTTTAAATATGCATGTGGGGTTTTTTTGTTTGTTTGTTTTAAAAGCTAGAGAAACAGATATTTATTTTTCCTAGCTAGCTATGTGGTTTTCTTCTCTCGCACTCAAGAGTGTGGTTTCTTTTACTCTTGTCAATCAGGTTTTTTTTTTGTTTTTTTTTTAAAGAGGACAGATTCGTTGAGCACAATGAGAAAACACCAGAGGGCAATAATACAAATATTTAATATAAAAGCCGATGCAATGGTTTTGCCTTGCATCTGCTGCCTCTGCCTCTGCCTACAGTTGAAGATCAAACACAGGCCCACCTCTTCCAAGAGTAGAGGGATCTACACTTAAACATGTAACAGAGGGATGGACCCAAGGTATGTCCTAGGAAGCAGCAGAGGTGAACAGGAAGTGTTCTCAAAGGACAAGGGACTAAAAATATGGTTTCAGTGCTTCATCAAGGTGAATTCACTTGCGGTGCCTGGGTGGCTCAGTTGGTTAACCGTCCGCCTTCGGCTCAGGTCATGATCCCGGGGTCCTGGGATCGAGCCCTGCATCGGGCCCACTGCTCAGCGGGGAGTCTGCTTTTCCCTCTCCCCTCTGCTGCCGCTTCCCCTGCTTGTGCTCTCTCTCTCTGTGTCAAACAAATAAATAACAATCTTTAATAAAAGGACTCCTGCCAGAGTGACTCAGTTGGTTAAGTGTCTGCCTTTGACTCAGGTCATGATCTCAGGGTCCTGGGATCAAGCCCGGCATCGGGCTCCCTGCTCAATGGGGAATCTGCTTCTCCCTCTCCCTCTGCCCCTCTGCCGTTCTTGTGCTCTATCTTGCTCTCTCGCTCTATCTCAAATAAATAGATAAAATTTTATTAAAAAGCCTTTAATAAAAAAAGAATTCACTTCTGTTTGAAAATATACATGTACATCCTTGACTAAGGAAAAACGATGCCATATAACAAAAACATACGAAGGACTGCCACTAGCAAGATTGTCGTATAGAAAGAGATGTAAATATTATTTTACATCTACTTATCTTTGGGCCCTTCCTCTATATCGCTATATCTCCTTTCTTGGTTTAATGAAATCGTCCATGTCCGCAACGTTTACTGTAAAGCAAACAGATATTCAGGGAATCACAGTTTTAGCATCAGCAATTATAAATTTGGAGATAAACATTGATGGTAAAAACATACTGACCCC